TAATAACAACAACAATTGAATATGTCTCACTCACCAACAGAAATTAGGTCCTGACATATTCTACAACACAGATGAAAACATGCTGAGTGAAATAAGTCAGTCACAAAAAGGCAGCTATTGTGTGGTTCCACTTACACGAAATATTTAGGATAGACAATTTTAAAGAAACAAGAGTTTACTAGGGGCTACTATGAGTGACACGAAACCTGGAGAATGAATAAGGAAGATTGTAGAAGAATTGATGCCTTTGAGTTGTGGTGTTGGAGGAGAATACTAAAAGTTCCATGGACAGTCAAAAGAACCAGTAGATCTGTTTTGGAAGAAGTGCAGCCAGAGTGCTCCTTGGAGGCCAAGATGGCTAAACTTCATCTCTCATACTTTGGACATATTGTCAGGAGGGAACAGTCGCTGGAGAAGGATGTCATGCTAGCTAAGGTGGAGGGTCAGAGAAAAAGAGGAAGACCCCTAATGAGATGGATTGGCCAGGTGGCATCATTGATGGCATCAAGTGTGGCAGCAGTACTGAGGTTGGTCCAGGATCGGACATTGTTTCATTCTGCTGTGCATGGGGTCACTATGAGTCGGTTCCGACTAGATGGCACCTGACAACAACAACAACTATGAGTGAGCATGGAGTCCTGGCATGGCACTGCAGGTTAATGCATTGGACTACAATGTCAGTTTGAACCACAAAGTTGGCAGTTCAAACTCACCAGCCGCTCCTCAGAAACCCTACACAGGTCACTGTGAGTCGGAAGCAAGTCAACAGCATTTAACAACAACTACAGGACTGGGCACAGTTGAGAGGGAAAGTCACTGCTCAGGGGTCACTGAGCTTCTATTAAGGATGACGGGAAATTTTAGAAATGTATAATGGTGATGGATGAACACTAGAATAAACCTAATTAATGTCACTGGTGTGGAGTCCTAGTGGGGCACAGTAGGATGGGCATGAGACTTCTAACTGCTAGGTGGGCGGTTCAAACACACCACTCCTCAGAAACCCTTTGTAGGGTTGCTGAGTCTAAACCGTCTCCACAGCACTGAACAGCAACACTGTCACTGAATTGTACACGTGAAGATGGCTCAAATGGCAAATGATTTGATACATTAATGAGGAGGCTTTAAAAAGTTGGTGGAAAAATAGAAGGAAAAGATAATGGAATTTTTCCATGAACTTTTTAAAGCTGCTTTGTATACTGAGCACAGTTTAAACACTCACACACACAACCAAAGGGGAAAAAATGTTGTTGCTTGTCGCAGTGCAAGTTCTTCAGTTGTATCCCACCCACCTCTATTGCATCAAGCTAGGAACAGGCAAAATGAACGTGATTAAATTGAAAAGTAAACAGAAAATGAAAAGAGAGAGGGAGAAAAAAGAAACAACAAAACACTTGTATTTATGAGTTTACAACCAAAAGCAGTGATAGTGGGGAGAAGAATTACCCGCCACTCAGAGTTCCCATTCCAAAGTTCAGGGTCTGAGTAATCAGGGTCTTACCAGGCAACCCCTAAAGGCCATGGGTCAGAGTGAATTCCTTAGCCTGGGAGCTAAGGATAAACAGCATGTCTTTCCCTCGCCCTGGTGAGGACCAACAAACCCTGACCCACAAGCAGCCCACAATTCAAATGAGCCCCAAGCTTGCAGATCAGGCAGACAGGCTAGCCACAGCACTGGGAGTTTTCCCACAGAGCTTTGCCAGTGGATTCCATTCCTAGCTTCATCATCTATCTCCGGCCCAAGTTCAAGAGCAACAGGGCAGACATGGCTACATTTCTGGATTGTACGGAACAGGGACTAACAAGGTTTTCCATTTGGGGCTCCGGCCAGCAATTAAAGTAAAGGGGCCCTGGTGGTGCCGTGGGTTAATCGCTGGGTTGCTAACTGAAAGGTCAGTGGTTTGAAGCCGACACTTCTCAGGAGAAAGATGAGGCTGTCTGCTTCTGTAAAGGTTCGCAGTTTCAGAAACCTTAGAGAGCAGGTCTAGTCTGTGCTATAGGGTCACTGTGAGCCCGAATTGACTCAATGGCCATGGAGTAGGTTGGGAAGTAATCTAATATAGCCCACATCCACCTTTTAATGCTAGAGACACCATTCCATAGCAGATTTTTCAGTGTCACTATTTCCCATTGAAGAATCCCTGCGTGATGAATATGACTACAAGTTCAGTTGCTAAGCAAAAGGTTGGAAGTTCAAATCCAACCCAAGGCTTCTACAATTAAAAAAAAAAAAAATCTGATGATCTACTTCTGAAAAATCAACCAGTAAAACCCTGTGGAGTACAGTTCTACTCGAACACATGTGGGGTCTCCCTAAGTTAAAACCAACTTGATAGCAACGGGTTTCTAGTACTGGAAATTCCTGTTTAGTTCACCCCACAGACGAAAGCGGAACTGCTCCTTAGTGTTTCTGAAACTAATTACTTACGGGAGCAGGTAGCCTCATCTTTCTCTCCACAGAGTGACTGATGGGTTTGAACCACTAACCTTTTGGTTAATAGTCCAATGCTGTACCACTACATCACCAGGACTCATGATTTAATCTTTGTATTCCCAAAAATTAGAAACTAGCCAAATTTATAGAATTACAATGGTTATAACAGCATCTCTCAGCACACATGGATACATTGCTGGTGTGATTAAATAAGAAAACAAAGAATTTCCTTCAGATAAGGCTAAAAAACAAATTCACGACCACCAAGTCAATTCCAACTCTATAGCATAGGACAGGACTTCCCCATAGGGTTTCCAACTATACTTGATGAAATCAGACGGCCACATCTTTCTTTTGTGGAGCAGCTGTTGGATTTGTAGTCCCGAACTTTCTTACCGTTAGTAGCTTAGCATTAACCACTGAGCCACTAGGACCCTTTCAGACATGACTACTTCAAAGTTGTAGTTGAATAAATGTAATCTTATTTTAAAGCCATGGGCTGAAAAGTTCTAGAGGAACCCAGAGTGACAAGAACTAAACATTGAAAACACACACTCATCCATTCAACTGCTTTCTATGGGCCATAAGTGAAACATGTGTTCAAGCCAAGGTGAGGGGATAAAAAAGTTAGGCAAAAGGGAAACAAACTGCACCCTCCATCAAAAAGAAAAGAAAAGAAAAGAAAAATGCACAGATACTATGAAAATTATAAAAATAAAACAGATGATGTAATAGATCAATGAAAGAGAAGTCAGTAAAAACCTTAAACTGGGTCTGAAAGACAAGATAGAACATCTATGAGGAAATATAAGGGGAGATTGTTCTAGGCAGATGGGTCAGCAAGTGCAAAGACACTGAGGCTAGAGACGACATGGTACAGATGTGAAATACAGAGAAGGAAGTTTGGCTCTACTACAGTATGGGCATGAAGTATGAGAAAGGGTCAGGCAGATGGGCAGTGGGCAGTGGCCAGCACAGAAGGAGCCTTGTAAGCCAGGATGAGGCACTGGTATTTATTCTGTGGTGGGAAACCATTTCTGTTATTAGATGTTGTTGTTGTTAAGTACCGCGGAGTCGGTT